TTTTTAAATTGATTTCAGAGAGGAAGGGAGAGAGACGGAGAGATAGAAAAACATCAACGATGAGAGAGATTCATGGATTGGCTGCCTCCTGCCCGTCCCTGTCCCCTGGGGCGGGGGAAATCAAGCCCGCAACCCAGGCATGTGCCCTTGGCTGGAATCGAACCCGGGACCCTTTAGTCCACAGGCCGACGCTCTATCCACTGAGCCACACCAGCTAGGGCTGATAGACTTTTGTTGACTCCAGAGAGGAAGGGAGAGGGAGAGAGAGATAGAAACATCATGATGAGAGAGAAGCATCGATTGGCTACCGCAACCAGGGCATGTGCCCCGACCGGGAATCGAACCGGCCGGACCCCAGTTACAGATTTTTGAAAGGAAGTTACGAAAACTCTCAGCCGTAAGCACTAGCGCGTAGCTGTCCCCACCGACTCCTCTGATCTGGGGACGCCGCGAAGGAGGGGTCAGCGACCGCACACGGAATACCATGGTCGTTAGACACGTCCACACACACTTCCATCCCGGGCACAGCGTGTCCATCTGGGAGAGTCCTCACCATCCCGGGGACAGCGTGTCTGTCCTGGGAAAGTTCTCACCATCCCGGGGACAGCGTGTCCGTCCTGGGAAGGTTCTCACCATCCCGGGGACAGCGTGTCCGTCCTGGGAAGGTCCTCACCATCCCGGGGACAGCGTGTCCGTCCTGGGAAGGTCCTCACCATCCCGGGGACAGCGTGTCCGTCCTGGGAAGGTCCTCACCATCCCGGGGACAGCGTGTCCGTCCTGGGAAGGTCCTCACCATCCCGGGGACAGCGTGTCCGTCCTGGGAAGGTCCTCACCATCCCGGGGACAGCGTGTCCGTCCTGGGAAGGTCCTCACCATCCCGGGGACAGCGTGTCCGTCCTGGGAAGGTCCTCACCATCCCGGGGACAGCGTGTCCGTCCTGGGAAGGTCCTCACCATCCCGGGGACAGCGTGTCCGTCCTGGGAAGGTCCTCACCATCCCGGGGACAGCGTGTCCGTCCTGGGAAGGTCCTCACCATCCCGGGGACAGCGTGTCCGTCCTGGGAAGGTCCTCACCATCCCGGGGACAGCGTGTCCGTCCTGGGAAGGTCCTCACCATCCCGGGGACAGCGTGTCCGTCCTGGGAAGGTCCTCACCATCCCGGGGACAGCGTGTCCGTCCTGGGAAG